GAGGTGGGGAATTACCATCTCCGTCTGTTTGCTGCAGGTTTAGACAAGGCTTGTAGGCAATACGCTTTTCAAGGTGAGAGAAGCAGCACGCTCGTCCATCAGTGCAAAGCAGACTCCTCCAAAAAGGCTTCTCAGATGCTCTCCAGCCGCTCGCACAAGCTCATTGTGAGCAAGCGAGTGCTCGCACGACTGCCAAAGGCCTCAGCTCAGTGCAGGCAGATGACAGGGTGGCCAGGAAAGTATCACTTGCTGGTATTCTCCACCGATGGAAGAAGCTGTTGCTGAAGAAGCCTGGAAGACCTCCCAGACCGGATTTCTCTGGCCCACAGAATGAAGTGAAGCACAAACAAAAGACCCAGTGCTGAAGGCAACCAGAACATTTTGTCTCTCCTGCCTCCTTTCAGAGCTACGTTTGGTCACGGCTTTCCAGCTGGCACCGCAGACCTTGGCTCACAGGCAATTACATCCTGCTGCCAAACCATTTCCCAACAGCCTAACACATCAGGGGCGGGTATTTATCGCTGAGCTTTTGATAAACATTTTGGCAGGCAGAGCAGACTCCTCCAGCAGCTGGACAACTCCATCAAAATGACCTGAGGCAGGTATTTGCAGCAATCAAGAAAGCCACGAGGTAGAGCAAAGTCTAAACCTCCGAGTGTGTGGAGCTGCCAAAAAAGCCACCACCTTTGTGCATACTAAGAAGCCCTGAACAGGATAAACAGCAGCTACTCAAATCACCTGCGTAAGCAAAACTCAATAGTATTCATTACCCTGTAGGGCTGCAGCTTTGCTGTAAGATGGGAGCATTTTTGACGTGATTCCTGTAGATGGTCTGAAACTATTCATGAAGGACCTTCTCTATCACACTGTCTGGGAAGAGCTGGCAAGCCACATTTCCAGAAACAGTTTGAATCACTGGCACCGGAGGACATCAGGAATGATACTGGCACTGCTTCTTCCTTGCTAGATCAGAGAGCACCACCACAACCCCCCTTCTCCCCTCCGTGATGACTCTTGGAATAGCTTCCATTTGCTGACAGCAGCCAGAAGAGCCACAGCTGCACGCCACAGTTGAGATCAGCATGCCAGCTCCGCTGTCGGCATGATCTGAGACCTTATAACCAAGCAGAAATTGCCAAAGAGGAGAAGTCCAAGAGCAAAATGAAAGACTTCTGAAGCACCTTTAAGCATCACTACATGTCTTTCACCATATGCTGCAACAATTAATCTAAAAATCCTTCTGCAATACAGCAAGCTTCAGACTCCCCAAGCTGCAGGTTGCAATACTACTGGGTTTCCACCTCTACCCTCCCCTGGCCCTGCAGTCACCATGATGCAGCCTGCCCACTCTCCCTACCCTACTAGTGCCTAGAGGCCAGTGCTGTGCTATCCCAGACACAATTGCTCTTCTTTTGCCCCAAAGCAAGACCCTGAAGCAATGGGGTCAGGACCTGCTGGCCCAGCAGACCCTAGGAGGGAAGGGATGATGACAGCAGCTGTGATAAGCAAGCAGAAACTCAAACCCCAGGGAAGCAAGAAGAGAAAAGGAGGGAGGTCCCAGGCACACCAGTGTGCCACAAACCTCCTTGAGCCAAAGTGCTCACTGCACCCCTAATGAGATTGGATCAGCTGGGCAGGGCAGGGAGGGAAAGACAGGCAGGTCTGCGATCCTCACAGCAAATCCCGAGGCAAATGCAGCTGCTTAGCCTCGGCTGAAAGGAGGGACTGATCCTCATTTGAAGCCAGCTCATCAAGGACAGTGAAGCTATTTTAAATGTTCTGAAGAGGAAGAAGTTGCCGCTGAACATGAAAGCCACATGGCTCCGTGCTCAGGCAAGTGGTGTAGAGTCTACACTGAGGAAGGCTTCAGAAGAGTCCTTTCACTGTGGAGGGACTAGCCTGCAGTCCAGATCGAGCAAAGCATGACGCTCACATAGGTCTACTCCCTATTTGGAGACTTTTTTCCCCACTTTTGCAACCTCTCCAGGGTCTACTTCAGAAGATTCGATTCTTATCACTACACTTGAGAAACAATAAGGTGTGTGTGAGGGAAAGCCAGGTGTGCTTCCCTTACTTGAGGGCACTTCTCATACCAAGTATTCTCTTAAGCACTGGCTATTCAGATAGACTCACCCTGTTCTCAGTCACCCCTGCAAGGGCAGCCAGCCTCCTGCTCTCACAGCCAACCTGTCAAAGTCTTCTTTGGAAACTCATTCTTCAAGCTCCCCTCGTGCTCCTTATGGGAAGCTCAGTTCAGAGTCTCAGCCCTCCATTCAGTGACAACCTTCTGCTAATTCAGTGTGAAGGTGCTCATAGCCAGTTTACACCAAGCTGTTCTTGTGCAAATATCACACTGCTCTTTAAACAGAGCTTTTCCCACCCTGACATCTCTCTTCACTGCTGTATTTATTCTTCCTGAGCTTTTGGCTTGTTAGGTTAAAGAAGCAGTTTCTCCTGCCTCCAACTGGATCGGCATCAGGCTTCCTACAGTAGAAGTCTCAGAGTCTGATGACACTAAGACAGCCGAGAAAACAGCAGACAGCTGAAGTAAAAAGTCAGTACAGCACGCAGAATTAAATACATCTTGAAGAAATAAGAGAACTTGTGGGCATTTTACCTCTCTTCCCATGAGACCACTCTGGCTTAAGCTGTCTTTATGCTAATACTATGCCAGAAGTTGTCAGCTTCTGCATACTGAAAATAACTGGAGGTGTTGAAGTCCATCCTTGCAGTCACACAGGCACTTGTTACTCAAAAAGTCCTCTTGCCTTGGTTAACCATTAAGAGTTTGAATTAAAAAACTTTCCTCTTCCCTTGGAAGATGTAGTGAGTTATTTAACAGAGATGATATCTGTATTCCCCCTAACACAGGAATATTGCTGTATCGCCACATGGGAGCCAACCGCTTGATGCTGAAACCAATCCAAGTTTTACTCCAAGCCACCTGGAGACGACTGTACAAGGACTCTAGACATCCGTCTTCAAGAGGCACTCACTTCTCACTGTGCTCATCTCACGAACCCTTTCAGAGGGCGGTAAAGGTATTTCACTTGGGAACTACCCCTCCTGCTACTAGGCAGGCTTGAAGTTTTGGACTGTTTCGTTGTTTTTAAGGGTAAGGGTTGACTACTTTGGCAGATCAGAATTAAGGCATCACCACGGTACTTTGGAAAAGGCATTTCTTGTACAAGAAGAACGCAGGCTTTGAGGAAAAGGCACAAGCGACACCTTGCTGTGCAAGTAAGCTCCATACCCCAGCATTCAGCAATAAAGCAGTCACATGAAATGTCTCTCTGCCTGGCTGATGAGGTTCATTGCGAACATCTCTCAGACAGACGCCCCCTTGGGAGGGGTGAGCAGATCAGAGGGATGAATGCCTTGCAGATGTTCAGGTGAGAGTTCCTAAAGCAGTACTGATAAATACAGCAGAAGGGCAAGATGTTGAAAGAAGGTCAAGAACTTCATTTTGAAGAAGGAAGATAAAAAAGCAATCCACTTCACGCTTAAGGTCAGCCAGATACATGACACCTTACGGCATCCAGTGTCAAATGTAGCATCCAGGGAGAACAGGCTGCAGGAACCCAAAGGATGGGCTGTGCAAGTGCCTCCCAGCTCCACTGCGGCACCTGTCTCTCCATTCAATTCAAGTATTCTCACCACTACTTATTTCACCTTTCCTGTCTGCCCCAGATCGCTGCATGGTGGCAGCAGCTACGAGTTCTGGCATATGGGTGCAGGCTTTGCTGGGTGCAGCCCTGCGGAGACACAGCACTTGCTCTGAGGAACTCACAGTCTACATGAAGGGAAGAAAGTCTTCTGCACAGCAGTCTGGACAAGCAGGTCATGCTGCAGACAGGGGTGAATGCTCTCCTGTGATATTTCAGGACACAGCAGTTGGGAAGCCTGCCATTTTCTATTCCTAGTTTGACCTGGGCATCTGACACAGCCAGGTCTCAGAAAAAGACTGACCAAAGCTAAGTTATGTGGTCATCAGAAAACCACACTGACCGATTCTGTTCGTTTGTAACTGGTAAGGGAAGTGACGTGGTCTCAAGCCCACAAGTTATATTAGGGTTGGAGCTCTAGATTTTTCTGAACTGTAGTAAGGGCAGAGGGAAACAAAGATAAACTCACACATCGGATCGAGCCTGTGAACGGGAGATCCTGTGCTCTCCCACTGCAGAAGGCACGCTCCAACAGTCCTTGCCTTGCACTTCTGCAAGCACCAGGAAACTGGCCTCGGCTTCAAAGGAGCTGCCTGAAAGCATCCACAACCCCCGAGATGTGCACGAACAAGAACAAACGAGACACTGGAGGAGGCATCAGCAGCACAGCCCAGGCAAAGTGCTCTCACGTCTACAGCACAAGTGAATTTGCAGGAAGTCTTAGGGATGGATTTCGCCAGTTAGCAAAGCACAAGCCTACAGCTACAAGGGGCCAAAAGCCAAGAGCAATAGTGGCAAGAGCTTGAATAAAAGTGGCAAAATTTCCCAAAGGCTAGGAAGCTGCCAGGATACTGGCACAGTCAGGAGGCTGATATACAGCTTCCGACTCTTACATATCTAAGAGAGGTTGAATTTTCTCCAAAGTTTTCCAATTTGGAAACAAAAGAAAAAATACAGCATTTCGTTTAGCTTAGGGAGGCTATCCTGGAGGGACCCTGTCACGTTACTAAAAGGACGATAATGTAACAGTAAGAAAGCTCTGTCAGCTAACAGCAGTTTTTCACAGGACCACGAGAGCTTTCTGCTGTTCAGAATCTAGACGCTATTCTGGAGCAGGGCCCAAAGGAGCTCAAAATGTAACGCTCTGTCTCATGTTTTAAGGGATGTACTTCACGATCCAATTGAGCTGCTCCAGTTTCAAGTCTGCATGAAACATGCAAGTAGAAGCCGCCCTATTTTTGGAACTGACTTGAAGGCAACACAGACTGGAAGAACTCCATTGGGAAAGCCAGTGTCATACTTAAACAAATTTCACAAGCCTCAGAAAGTATGAGCTCCCACATCAAAGCTAAGGCAGATCTAGAGCTAGAATTGCTTTGTCCTCTATAACCTCATCTTCTCAGCCCTTCTCTAGAAACTAATACTGAATACTGTCCGTAACAGACCTTCTCTGTACCAGACTAGGAAAGCCTGTCATTCACTAACCCCTCTCCCACCATTTCATCAGACCAGAATACCAGGCAGCAAGACAACATGCAGTGCCTCTTGGCGTTTACATAGAGCCCATCCTTTCGATGCTTCACGTGTTCCTCTTCAGAGCTCTTCACTCTGGCATGAAAGATTTTCAGAGCCTAAGGGAAAAGCAAGTGTGCCCCATCATAGCACTACAAGCAGCACTTACCTGGGCTCCTCTAGAGTAGGATCTGAAAATGGTGCAAAATCTTCCTTGCCCTGATGTGTCCCTGCAACAAAGAAAAGTTACAGCTGTGAAATCTGGAGATTCGAATTCCATACTGCATATCTCCTATTGGACCTAAAAAAAATAAATTAAAATGAGTGTCAATCTTGTCAGATCTTTGGAACACACACAGTACCCAAACTGCTCTGCACAGTGTTTTTTGGGAAGAATCAGTGGGTGGATCGTCACCTTTGGTTAGGGTCAGACACACTCCAGAGGGCCTTGCTGTCATTGTGCTTCCCATGGAGATGGTACAAAACAAAACCACTGAGCTTCAGCACTCCCTTAGGACGTACAAGGACCTAAGTACCCCCTTGGGCAAAGGATTTTCTCTCTAGTTCCCTGTGGCCCATGAGAGTTCAAAGTCAGAGTGAGACAGCAGACCCCTCCTAGGCACGGAGAAGAGCTGACCTGTAAAATTAACATAACCACCCAAGGTAGGAGAAATTGCCTTGTACTGTCTAGTTTCACGTATTTTTCCAAATATGTTTTAAACAAAAATGAAAGGAAGTCTCTTTACACCCTGACCTCTGACAGACTGGCTGATCATACCCTACAGAGAGCTCAGGAACAGGACTAGAGAACAGCATTTCTAGCCCGCTGTGACAAGGGGCTATTCAGTCACCATCATTTGTCCTGACTGCAACTCTGGACACGGTGTAAATCAGTGTGACTACACTACCAGCACCCCTCAGTGCCTGCGGGAACACTTGCGACAGTCAGCCAGAGCCCAGCACACCGACTGAACCACTGTATACTGAAACATGCCGGGGTAATCAGAGACACGTCATGGTGTTTGTCATGTCTGTTCACTGGGGCAGGTTAAAAGACACATTAATGACCACTGAGAAGCCTGAGGAAACCCTCAGCCGCAGATCTGCCCCAGCTACAGCGACCTCAAGTTCAGGACAGTCATTCTTTCAGATCTGAAGTGTTCAAGGACCATATCCTGGATGTCAGCCTAACAGTCTGTGCTTAAATCTTCTTCTTCCCTGACAACCAAATACTGGGTTGTATGAGGAAAGCAATAGTAAAAGATCACATTAAGATGTCATAAACCACGACTACCAGCTCTTCAGGGAAGGTCCTGGGCTGGTTCTCCAGCTCAATAATTACAGTATAAAAAGAAGAGAGAAGCAGTAAGTAACCACACGCTTGGGGCTGAAACATTAAAATAGACATCTTACAAGAGAGACAAAAGAATATAAGTGGCACATATAAACATACAAAGTAGAAGAGATAAATTAGCTGCCTTCTGCTCTTTTGTAAGAAAAATGAGGACATTCAGCTTCAGAGAGCAGGGGTATAATTAAACCACGAAACCATACGCTGCTACAGTCAGTCACCGAGGCTGAGAACATGGCGCTCATTCCTGTTTAACAATTCACACAGATTACTAATGCTGCTTTTACTAGACACAAGTGTTGGTAGACTATTTAACTTCATGTTTTAGTGCCTGTGTCATTCCCTGCCAGATCTGGGTGAAAACCAGAATAGGGACAGGCTACCTATCTTTCCTCTTTCATCTACAGCACTGCTGTGTCAGCTTCTCAGCAGGTTAAACCTCAGACAAAGGTTGTCCAGAAAGACTCCAGATCTCCCTCTGGTGCCAACAGATAAGGCAAGGGTCACCGCTCCCACGCAGTGTTCTCAGATCTCCATCCCAGTGTCAGGTCACTCCAGTAAGTCCTGCTCTCCAGGGGTTTACCATACTCTGACATTAATCATGAGGTCTATTTGCTGCTCCTGTTTTGATTTTCTGCTCAAGTCATTGAGAAATATCCAGCTTCCGTAGAGACTAAAGGCTTCACTCATTTTATTTCTCCTCCTTTTTCTATTCTCTTGTCTATATTCCTCATTCCAGGATTTCAGGAAAATCCAGTATTGCTTCTGAAATAGTACTGTTCCCTCAGGGATGGAGGGCTGTATGGGAACACGATCAGGTATGACAGAGAAAAGACTGAAATCGGACTATTCTGGGAAAGAACAGCATGCTGTTTGTGCTGCTCGGTTAACAGAACAGGGTCCGGTTTGACGGAGTAACTTGCTGGTAAGAACAGCTGGCAAGCCTCACCGCACGCCTGCGGATGCTCCGAGCTCTCTGCAGCTCGGTACAGCATCCCACTGGCAGCCCCACGGCCCCTGCTCACCAGTCCTGCGCTCGCAGCCCAAGCAGCTCAGAAACACTCACCAGAGCTCCAGCTTGACCCTTCTGCCGTCCAACAAGATAGTAGTGGTCTTGTAGTCAATTCCTGAAAGGAAATCAATAAAAAGCTGAGCAAACACTGAGCAGGTCTTCAGAGACGGACAAGAAATCTGCTCTGCTCACCCAGATCTATCACTTCATGTTTACAGAAAGTGATGCTTTCTTCCCCTTGCTCTACAGTGTATTTGTGGAGGGCTACAGCGACTTGATAGAAATAGACCTCTGCTTCAAGGCAAAGGCTACTCTTGCGGAGCTCTATTCCTCCTCCCTAAAAATATAGTTAACCCCTAGATTGCTTCTCACTTCTCCATTGTCGGATAAAACCTGTTAGGACTGGAGCTGTAGGAGATTCAGGGGTCTGTAGCATTATCCCAAGTGACAGTGTTAAATTACAGACTTTCGGGGGGTGAGCCAGAGAGACAAACGATTTAGAAGCATCTCTGCTAAGTCAGCCTGCAGACCCACCATCTCTGAACCAATGTCACTGCCTGCAACAGTCAAAGGACATTTTGGGAGGCGGGCGATACTGAAAGCCTGTCTGTAGAAGGCTGTTTCTTCTTCTGAGCAGCTCTTGGGTGTGTGTCACACAGGTTGAGACAAGGCAGAAAGCACTCCCCCTGGATGAAGGGCTGAGAAGGCAGCACGGACAACAGCTTTTCACAGAGCAGCAAAAGACCCTCCAAACCACACCACCAGGCTGATTTGTGTGCCGTTCATACAAGGGCTGCTCAACATCTTCAGATACACAGAGTTTGTTAAAATCTGGGAGCCTGTCTCGCATTCAGACAGAGAAGAGGTTTTAAAAAAAAAAAAAAAGGGGCAACTCCACTTGCAAACAACACGTCCAAACCACTCCCCGTGGCCCCAGGCACAGCAGAGAAGAGACACGGCTGCACCTCCCACCTCCTTCCCCAAAGCCTGGACTTGGGAATGGCCAAGGGGCACCAGGTGCCCAGGAAAAGCAGCTTCTACACAAGCTCCAGTTAACGAGCTTCAAGTGTATTGAAGTTGCTTAAACAAAGCACCGTGCGCCATCACTACACACCCACTAAAGCATAAGCTAATTTACAATAGTCTTTAATAAAGCAGAGTCGCTTCACCCCGATTAGATCAACTTCATTTTTTCCTCTTGCCAATAGATATCAAACTTTGAATCTATATTAAAAACGCACCGTTGTGTTACAACCTGTATTTCCCTTCTCCTGCAAGGAGGACACTACCCCGATAACCAAACAGACAAGTTTGTCAATAAAGCAAATGGATTTTTCTGAGTCATCAGCAGGAGCTCCCTGTCAGTGAAAAACAAATTAGATTTCAGCCTTCACAGGGTGCTATAAAAAGCAATAAAGATAATTATCTTAATTCCAACTATTTCCAGTGCTTTATCACAGAAAATAGACAGTTTACATTTTTATCGTCCTCCAGAGTCAAGTGAATGATCTTTATTTATTTTCAGGCAGATCTAAATTTCCCTTGTCCCCAGGGACGGCGAGCAAGCCTGCTCTGCAGCCAGGAGGGAGCACCCAGACATCTCCTCCTGGCTCCTGAACCAGGATCATCCCCTGGCACAGGCTGACGGGCCATTTTGGGCACAAGAGCTCCCTGCAAGCAGTGAGGCCTCAGCAGCCTCTGTGCCAGCAGCCCAGGCACACGGATGGAGCAGTTGCACGAAAGCACCAAGGAAGGGGAAACAGAGACAGTCTTCAGGGCACAGAGGCCATGTGCTTCCATAAATGCCACTGTCAAGGTGAAACCAACTGCTCAACTATCAGCTTGTAACGTGAGAGAGGTTCAGCTTGACGGGAAAGAGAAGAAAACTCGTTAATGGAAACGCCAAACACACAAACCCAGAAATGCCTTTGTTAGGCTCCACACTCATCAGCTGCCCAGCCTACATCCCCAACACAGGGAACATGGGTTCCCTGCCACAAACTTACATGACTCCGTCACCAGAGCAATGCTTTAAATACCCACTCCCCCTATGCCCCTCTAAAACTACACAACACACTAAGTCAGAGCAACACAGCTCTTTGGGCAGAACAATATGGCCATGACCAAAGTGGGCCATCAGCAGAAAACAGCACTGGAAAACTTCCTGAGCTCCTGCTGCAACTGCTCCCCACTCCAAAGATGCTCAGGGAAGATAAACGGGCAAAGCAGAAGTCCTTCATGTCCTTCACAGTGATGTCCATGCTCAGAAGAGAAGGTATGCGAGACGGGGGGAGGAAGCACAAGGTCTGTGGTTGTACTTGCCCCTGCAGATATCCCTTCCCAGGGGACAGGCAGGGATGGCAGCCCATCGCTTGTGCAAGAAATTAAGAGAGCTCACCACTACAGAGCGGGTCCGGCAGACTCTCCAGGCACCGGCTGCCAGCCATGCTGGATGTCAAATGCCAAATGCAACAGCCCAGAGTAAGTACCAAATCATCTCCTTGGGTTTCCAGACAGCTGCCAGTCAACCAATTTCGCCACCTGGCCTCAGGGCAGTCCGTGTCTTCGTGCAGAACTCCTCTCCTTGGCATCGGAGGTGAAGGGTAAAGGCCTTTCTGAGGGTGACACCCCTGTGGTGCTGCCACGGAACTGGCCTGAGGAATTCACATACGCTCGGGTTAAAAGCAAAGCTGGCTTGGCTTTTTATTCTAAGCTACATTCAGTGTTTATGCAGTATCTGGTAACATGGGCTGGAGGAAAGTGATGCACTTTTTAACTTGCATACACCCAAACTGGAACTAGGGACTAAATTTACAAAAGGTTCTTGAGCAAACTCTACCTACGAGCTCACTGATAAGGACAAAACCCATGCAACTGCAACATTTTTGAGAAAATTTCAGCTTCCCTCTTCCATAAACACTCAGAGCATCAGGACAGCTCAAAGGGACTCCCTCTAAAGCTTGCACGCAGCATCCTCCATCTTTTTTGGTTTTGTCTGGTTTTTTTAAGCTTGTTAGCACTCTCCCCTGTAGCTGTGCAGGATGACCACGGCTCATCGGTGCTAGAAAACTTGCATCAATCACCGATGTCCTTAAAATTACAGGACTTGCCACAGCAGCTAACACCGGTACTAGCCACCTCACAGCTAGCACCTCACTATTTTAGTCTCAGTGACACACTGTGGTTTCCTAAGCTGTAGCCCAATACATACTCCCCCCATTTACCGCAGACAACGAAGCTGAGTAACCCAGCTTGCTTTGCTAGGCTCAGCCTACAGCTTAAGCTCAGCCCTGGCTTTCCCTCACGTCCCACGGGCCTGGGGACAGAGGGCCACAGCGGCCACTAGGTGCCACCATCGCACAGAGGCTGCTGGCAGCAAAGCCGGGGGTGCCCGGCTGCACCAGGGCTGCTCGTCTGCCTTTTCACTTCAGGTGGCTCAGACGTCAAGAAGCAAAAGGGAAGTTTTTAAAATTTAATTTCTGTAGTTGACAGGGTTTCCCCCACCTGAGCATCACCTCTGCTCGCAGCCAAGTACAGCTCATTTCAAGACTGACATTTATTCTCCGCCAGAACGCGCTTTGATCCCCCGGATGGGACGTACCAGGGCTGCTCGTCTGCCTTTTCACTTCAGGTGGCTCAGACGTCAAGAAGCAAAAGGGAAGTTTTTAAAATTTAATTTCTGTAGTTGACAGGGTTTCCCCCACCTGAGCATCACCTCTGCTCGCAGCCAAGTACAGCTCATTTCAAGACTGACATTTATTCTCCGCCAGAACGCGCTTTGATCCCCCGGATGGGACGTGCTGCTACAAACCCCACGCGATGCTCCGGCAGCACACGCAGCACCAGCAAACCAGCCAACTCGCCGCCAGCAGCTGCCTCCACCACCCTGCCTGGCCCTCGGGGCACGCAGCACTGGGGGAAAAGAAAACAGACTTGTTCAAAGCTTATTTTATATCAACCAATCTTTCTTGACCAATATCTAGCATGATGCAACAAAATGAATGAGGCTTGGAAAACAAGTCTGGGCTGTTCTCTCTCATTTAGCATTCAGGCCAACTCCTCTGCTATTTTTCCAGTCCTGCTTTAGACTCCTACTTACGCTGACGCCATCTCAACCCCACTTCTCGAGCGGCAAGCTGACCTGGCACGGGGTGCTCTGCAAAGCGATCTGCTGTCACCAAGCCTGATGTCAGACACTTGATTCCCCTCTGCAGGGCTGGGTTTCACGCTCCCAGGCAAGACTCCAGGGAATTCGAAACCTTTATTTCTTTTGCCAATTGGTATAAGGAAAACCTAAGCAAGCAAGCCATTTTCCCATGGGAATACACAGGACATGTTATAGGAAACCCTAACCTCTTCCAAATCACTCATGCAGAGCACAGCACACTTTGCATCCCTAAGAGCTGAAACACCACATGCCCAACCTTAGCTTAGTTAAAACTTTCACCCAGAAAATTACACTTGATGTGAACAGGAAAAGTAAAACCCCTCAAAGAGAAGTAACTATTTTCTTCCAGCACTTGATACTACCTTGTATCGGGCTGTCAGGCCCCCTTCCCCCTGGGAATTCACAGCTCAGAGAAAGGCGCCCCTCTGCTCTGCCAAGCCCCTGCACTGCACCTGCACGAGCAGTGGCACACTGAAAACAACGGAGGAGGCAGCAGGCAAGCAGGTAGGTGGAACTGGAAGTCACACTGGAAAAGGTAGAAAGAGAAGGGAGATACATATTTCACACTGCTCTTGGGCTCTCCCTTTGAACAGATTAATATCTGAGGAAAATTGCTTTAAATAGCTCAAGTGAGCAAGGTTCTATAAATATTTGCTACTGTAAGTACAGAAGCTTCTTGGCTTTGTGTAGGTCTTCGTTTTCGCAAAAAAGAGCAATTTGCAGTTGCAGACTCTCAAGCCGACTCTGCCCTAATGCCTGGGCAGGGGACCAGAATGGTCACCTCCCCTTAAAAAGGCAGGTTTGAGCAAAACCTTACAGCAGTAAGGGCAGCATGTGCCTTTTTCCTCCTCTCGCTTTCCAAGGCAATCCTCACTTAGCGCTGGGGCGAGAGGGACTCCAGCCCTCAGCGTGCTGCTAGAGCCAATACTGCACTTTAGGTTATTGGT